GGTTTATACTGGTTTATACTGGTCCGCACTGGTTTCCAGGCTCTCTGCTCCTCGCTGTGCTCGTCTCTCTCCGCCCGGGCCGTGCTCGAGGCCGTCGGGGTCGGCGACGGCGCCGCCTCCGTCACCGGGGCCGCGCTCACCTGGCTGCTGCGAGGTGCGGCACGCCGCGCTCCCCAATTCCCAAAAAATCCCAGATTCCCAAAAAAAATCCCGAATTCCTGAAAAAAATCCCGGGATTCCCAAAAAAATCCCGGAATTCCCAAGCGAAATCCCGGAATTCCCATCAAAAACCCTGAATTCTAGACCAAAATCCCAAATTCCCAAAAAAATCCTGGTGTTTCCGAAAAAAACCCCTGGAATTCCCATCAAAAATCCCAAATTCCCGAGAAAAAACGGAATTCCCAGAAAAAAAAATCCCAAATTCCAGACCAAAATCCCAGAATTCCCCAAAAAAATCACTAATTCTCAAAAAAAATCCTGAATTCCATCCCAAAATCCCAAATTCCCAAAAAAGACCCGGAATTCCCATCAAAAATCCCGGAATTCCTGAAAAAACCCAGAATTCCCAGCAAAAATCTTGGCATTCCCAACCAAAATCCCAAATTCCTGAAAAAATCCCGGAATTCCCAAAAAAAATCCTGGAATTCCAATTAAAAATCCTGAATTCCGAAAAAAACCCGGAAATCTCATCAAAAATCCTGGAATTACTGAAAAAAAATCCATGAATTTCCAAAAAAATTACTGGAATTCCCAAAAAAAATCCCGGAATTCCCAAAAAAAAAGCCAAATTCCCAAAAAAATCCCAGAATTCCCAAAAAATCCTGAATTCTCAAAATAATCCCGGGATTCCCAAAGAAAACCCAGAATTCCCAACTGAAATCCTGGAATTCCAATCAAAAATCCCAAATTCCTGAAAAAAAGCCCGAATTCCATCCCAAAATCCCGGAATTCTCAAAAAAATCCCGAAATTCCCGAAAAAAATCCCGGAATTCCCGAAAAAAACCCCCGAATTCCTAAAAAAAAATCCTGGAATTCCCAAAAAAAATCCCAGAATTCCCAACCAAAATTCCCGGAATTCGCAGACGGGGTCGGGATCGTCACCAGGATCGTCTTCGTGTGGCTGCAGGGGTGAGACTGGGACGGACTGGGCCAAACTGGTTTATACTGGGAGGGACTGGGAGGGACTGGGATAAACTGGGAATGGACTGGGATGAACTGGGTTATACTGGGATGGACTGGGAATGGACTGGGCCAAACTGGTTTATACTGGGAGGGACTGGGAGGGAACTGGGATAAACTGGGAATGGACTGGGAGGGACTGGGAGGGGACTGGTTTATACTGGGAGGAACTGGGAGGGAACTGGGAGGGACTGGGAGGGAACTGGGTCATACTGGTTTATACTGGGAGGGGACGAAAGGGTTAAAAATGGGGTATCATCGGTGCTGGGGGCGATTTTTGTACTGGTTTGGATTGGTCCATACTGGTTTTTACTGGTTTATACTGGTGTGCACTGGTTTATACCGGTTTACACTGATCCATACTGGTTTACACTGGTTTATACTGCTTTGCACTGGTTTATACTGGTCCATACTGGTTTTTACTGGTTTATACTGCTTTGCACTGGTTTATACTGGTTTACACTGATCCATACTGGTTTATACTGGTTTGCACTGGTTTATACTGGTTTTTACTGGTTTATACTGGTCCATACTGGTTTATACTGGTTTCCCCCCCCCCAGGAGCCACCTGGACTGTGAGGCCAAGCAATGGCGGTGAGGCCCCGCCCCTTTCCCCATCCAAGCCACGCCCCTTTTACCATATATGGCTGTTGCCCTTAAGCCCCGCCCCTTTTCCCGTATATGCTAATAGGGTGCCATTCTTAAGCCCCGCCCCCTTTACCATATATGGCCCCGCCCACAACTCCAAATAAGGGCAGGCCCCGCCCCTACATGTCAATCAATGGCAGAAGCCCCGCCCACAGCTCCAAATAAGGGCAGGCCCCGCCCATGTGTCAATCAATGGTGCAAAGCCCCGCCCACAACTCCAAATAAGGGCAGGCCCCGCCCCTCCATGTCAATCAATGGGCAGAAGCCCCGCCCACAACTCCAAATTAGGGCAGGCCCCGCCCCTTCCATGTCAATCAATGGCAGAAGCCCCGCCCACATCTCCAAATAAGGGCAGGCCCCGCCCCTCCATGTCAATCGATGGCACAAGCCCCGCCCAAAACTTCAAATAAGGGCATGCCCCGCCCATATGTCAATCAATGGTGCAAATCCCCGCCCACAACTTCAAATAAGGGCATGCCCCGCCCATATGTCAATCAATGGTGCAAAGCCCCGCCCACAACTCAAAATAAGGGCAGGCCCCGCCCCCTACATGTCAATCAATGGTGCAAAGCCCCACCCACAACTCCAAATAAGGGCAGGCCCCGCCCCCTACATGTCAATCAATGGTGCAAAGCCCCGCCCACAGCGCCAAATAAGGGCAGGCCCCGCCCCCTACATGTCAATCAATGGTGCAAAGCCCCGCCCACAGCGCCAAATAAGGGCAGGCCCCGCCCCCTACGTGTCAATCAATGGCTGAAGCCCCGCCCACAACTCCAAATAAGGGCAGGCCCCGCCCCCTACGTGTCAATCAATGGGCAGAAGCCCCGCCCACAACTCCAAATAAGGGCAGGCCCCACCCATATGTCAATCAATGGCAGAAGCCCCGCCCCCAGCTCCAAATAAGGGCAGGCCCCGCCCCTCCATGTCAATCAATGGGCAGAAGCCCCGCCCATAACTCCAGATAAGGGCAGGCCCCGCCCCCTACGTGTCAATCAATGGGCAGAAGCCCCGCCCACAACTCCAAATAAGGGCAGGCCCCGCCCCCAGGCTGGTGGCGGACGTGCTCAATGACGTCGCCCTGGTGCTGGAAATCCTCGCTCCCTATTGGCTGAGCCTCGGCCCCGCCCTCCTCATCATGGCGGCCGCCGCCAGGGTGAGACTCGGGGGGAAATGGTTTATACTGGGAGGGACTGGGAGGGACTGGGAGGGGACTGGTTTATACTGGGATGGACTGGGAATAAATTGGGATAAACTGGGATTTTACTGGTCCATACTGGGATGGACTGGGAGGCAACTGGTTTATACTGGGATGAACTGGGATAAACTGGGAGGGACTGGGAGGAACTGGGAGGGAAAGGGATGGACTGGGAGGTAACTGGTTTATACTGGGAGGGACTGGGAGGGAACTGGGAATAAACTGGGATGAACTGGGATGTTACTGGTCCATACTGGGAGGGACTGGGAGGCAACTGGTTTATACTGGGATGAACTGGGAATAAATTGGGATGGCTGGGGAGGTAACTGGTTTATACTGGGATGAACTGGGAGGAACTGGGAGGGACTGGGATGGACTGGGAGGGAACTAGGAGGGACTGGGAATAAACTGGGAATGGACTGGGAGGGACTGGGATGGACTGGGAGGTAACTGGTTTATACTGGGAGGGACTGGGAGGGAACTGGTAGGGACTGGGAGGGAACTGGTTTATACTGGGAGGGACTGGGAATAAACTGGGATGAACTGGGATGTTACTGGTCCAAACTGGGAGGGACTGGGATGGGACTGGGATGGCCCGTACTGGTTTATAGTGGTCCATACTGGTTTCTACTGGTTTGTACTGGTTTATGCTGTATTTTTCCATTTATACTGGTCCATACTGGTTTATACTGGTTTGTACTGGTTGCAGTGCGTGGTGGGCGTGGCCGGCGGCGCCACCAGGGCGGCCCTGGCCGTGCACCAGGCCCGGAGGGACAACGTGGCCGACGTGGCCGCCAAGG